CCCACTCTTTTTCTCTTATCTTCACTGTAGGGCTTTTAATACAATTATATATATATATATATATATATATATATATAACTAGACGAAGCTTATGGTTGTACGGCAGTGAAGCATCTGTGCCAACACTGATGTTGCCGTCTTTGATGATGATGATGATGATGATGATGATATCCATCTGCAGCAGCCTCTGCATCACCAGTGGTGCGCAGCCGGAACCTGGAGGAGAGCGAGAGAACAGTCAGTTCGATCACAGTACTTGTGTCCTGCGTCCTTGTTTCTCACAGACAACAATACATCAATACTGTGGGAATCCAGCGTACGGGCAAAAGCCACTTGTTGATCTGCTTGCTTCAGTGTGCGAACATTGAAGGTGGCTAAATAGACAGGCTTTCGGAGTTTGAAAACAGACTTCGAAGTCTTTAGGGTTGTAACTGAACTCGGAAGTGCATAGGCTGCAGCTGAGTGTGATGCAGGGCGACCAACGCGGTCAGTCCTAGAGCTGGGACCTGCGGAGAAAGTATTCGAATTTGGGTGGGGGAGGGTGGAATGAAAGCGTGAAAGTGTAAGAAGGGAGGCGTCAGCAGTAGCATGTTTTCGCTTACCCGCCCCGCTGTATGCAGCAAGTAAGGCGACCCGGCTGATGTCACCACGCGACGGCCGATGTGGCATGAATTTATTGGTGTATGTGCAGTTCATGGTTGTACGTGGGCTGGGATACTGCCAGGGCGCCCACACCTAGACAGGAGGACGATTAGGGTCCTCATCCAAAGCCTTTGGCTCAAAAGCCTAACCGCAAGGCAGCGGTGTTCGGCTGGAAATGCAAGTACATTACCTTTATTTACGGAACACGTCGCATTACATGTTCCAACCCCCAACTTGGAGGGCCAGAAGACTGTGTTCGTCGGACCTCTACCCATGGACCAACCTGGTATGAGAGATTCTGTGAGCATCGTGCGGACACTCCCCGGTATAATTCAATGGGTCGCCGAGGTACACAAACCGCCACACCACGGTAAGGTCCAGTCTCTTCTTCCCCATACCTAGTAGGGTTTGTCAGGATTGACTGTTCTTTCAATTTTGACGCCATACAGCGCATATTCCAAAAAACCTAGGTACGAAAATCGCGTCCCTGAGCAGAATATCCGTCGTTGCATGTCTCGGCATGCGTGCTGCTCCTAAAAACGCAAAGTTCTAATGCGGGATTTATCATTCTCTTGAGTCGCTTTGAGACCTCAGAACGAAGGACTTGAGCCCCTTGACATTGGCAGCTCTACTAGCCACGAATGAAGTCAACGTGCGGACACTTAAGGCGCGAGGAGCAATTGCCAACTTCCATCATTTGGGGAGTCAATTGGATTTCACCGAAGCTAAAGGCAACGTAAACAGGACAGCCATACTGTAGCAAATCCTTGATCCTCTTGTTAAGTGAAGAATTCGAATAAGGAACCAAACTTCGGTCCAAATTGGCAGTGGGCACTTTCAATGCCTCGTCTGCTGGTTGGGCTTTCATAATGTCCCAGCTGTTGGCAAGTAGCTGAG